CCCTAAAAATACAAAACTCCTCCTTCTCTACCACAAAATCTACTTTTTATCCTCCTCCTCACGAGCTCCAACCACCCTAGAGCAATTAGGACCACAAAAATTGCAAAAGGGGACCAAAATCAGTAGGAAATCCAGAGCAGGTAACTGTAATCTGCAGATCCGCGGGCACCCACGGGTGTTCAAAGTCCGAGGGGAGCTATTAGCATAAACGGCGGGCACCCGCGGTGGCACGGCGGGCACCCGCGGTGTCTCGGCGGGGGCTCTGCGAGGCCTCACCAAACAAGGCAGAGAGTTAAGGAGTTTGGCGGGCGCCCGCGGTGGCGCGGCGAGTGCCCGCGAGGCCTTGTGGCTACAACTTCATCATGGCTTCTTGTAAGCCTCTTCGAGCCGGAGCGTTGACGCAGTCTCCACTTTGAACACTAAGCCACGAACTCCATGCATACGAGGACTCAAGAGGCCTGGCCCAAAAGACGGTCCCCAGTAACGGCGCACCTACTTCAACAAGAATGATGTCAAAACCGCTTCTTTAATCATATTCGGGGAAACTGACCTGAAACAAGACAAAAGTACACAAGTAAAGTAAAACTGTACATTATACTTCATTAATGGGCCTAACTCAAGCAAGAAAGGGCGCTTGAATATGCAATATTCGACGCTTATCACGAGCGTTATGTGTTGATACGCCAGTTGGGGTTTCAGTGTCCTTGAGCCGAGTTATGAGGGATTATTCCATTGTGAAAGCGGGGCGGACTTTTGTGTTTGACCTTATCCTCTTGGAGATGACTAACTTTGATGTCATTCTCGGGATGGATTAGTTAGCTTCCTTTCGTGCCACGATCGACTGTTTTAGAGGTAGAGTCACAGTTTGCACTCCTGAGGGAGACTGTTTCTTTTTCATGGGAGATCGAAGTTATTCCCAACCTTCATCATTGTATAGAATTCATGGATGGAGTTGTGGCGATTACTTCATGGCTAGTCTTCTAGTAGAAGAAGATGATGTTGTGAAAGAGAATTATCCTGCAGTTGTTCGTGATTTTCTGGATGTGTTTCCGGGGGATTTGACAGAGTTACCTCCACACCGAGAAGTGAGTTCACTATTAATTCGATGCCTGGTAGCACGCCGATTTCTATGGCACCGTATCGTATGGCACCAGTTGAATTGGAAGAATTGAAGAGGCAGCTTAATTATTTAAGGATAAAAGGTTTCATCCGACCGATTGTGTCACCGTGGGGCACACCGGTCTTTTTTGCTAAGAAGAAATATGGTTCTTTGAGGTTGTGCATTGATTATCGGAAGTTGAATCATACCACTATCAAGAACAAGTATCCTTTGCCAAGGATAGATGATTTATTTGATCAGTTGAGGGGATCCAGTTGTTTTTCAAAGATTGACTCGAGGTTAGACTATTATCAGTTGTGGGTTAGGGATGAGAATATCCCAAAGACAGCGTTCCGTACACGGTATGGACACTATGAATTCCTTGTTATGCCTTTTAGCTTGACTAATGCTCCAGCGACATTCATGGACTTAATGAACCACGTCTTTTACGATTACTTGGACCAGTTTGTGGTAGTTTTCGTGGATAACATTCTTGTGTATTCATGATCTCGGGAGGAGCACGAGATCCATTTGAGTATTGTATTGTACATTTTATGAGACCACCGATTGTATGCCAAATATGAGAAGTATGAGTTTTGGCTACAAGATGTGAAGTTTTTGGGGCATGTTGTTTCAGAAGGTGGAGTATCGGTTGATCCATCAAAGATAGAGGTAGTTCTAAATTGGGAGCAACCCAAGAATGTGTTTGAAATCTGCAGTTTTCTTGGTTTAACGGGTTACTACCAAAGATTTGTGAAAGATTTTTCTCGCTTGGCAACGCTTATGACCTGTTTGACCCGGAAAGGGATTAAAGTTTGCATGGAATGAAGCCTGTGAGTCATCTTTTCAGGAATTGAAGACAAGGTTGACTACGGCTCCAGTATTGGTGATACCTGAGCATGGCTTGGGTTGCGTGATTTATTGTGATGCTTCACATAATGGTTTGGGATGTGTGTTGATGTAGGATGGTAGAGTGGTGGCTTATGGGTCTCGACAGTTGATGACTCATGAGCTTAACTACCCTACTCATGATTTAGAGTTAGCGGCAGTTGTATTTGCCTTGAAGTGTTAGAGACATTACTTGTATGGTGAGAGATTCGAGGTGTACTCAAATCATAAAAGTCTCAAGCACCTTTTCTCCCAAAAGGACTTGAACAACAAGTAGAGGCGATGGGTTGAGTTCTTGGAAGATTATAACTTTGACTTGCAGTATCATCAGGGCAAGGCAAATGTAGTAGCTGACGCTTTAAGCCAGAAATCTCGTGGGACTTTGGCTAGTTTAGCCATTCGGAAGTGGAAGATGCTTGAAGACTTAACAGAAATGGGATGTGTTGCTATGATGACAATGACAATGAGTCGGTATTCTTATTTAGTCTCGTAGCTCAACCTACTCTTGTTGGACGAGTGATTGAGTCACAGAGACAGGATTTAGATTTAGATGCTATTCACACTTTGATCTCCAGTGGCATGACCGTGAAGGATTGGACCTTGCATATAGATGTAGGTCTACGGTTCAAGGGTTTGTTGGTTGTCTCCACAGAATGTCGTGATGACGTCTTACGGGAGTTCCACACTTCCCACTTTACAGTTCATCCAGATGGTACTAAAATGTATCACAATTTGAGACGTCAGTATTGGTGGAACGGAATGAAGAAAGATGTTGCACAGTTTGTGGCTAGATGTCTTACCTATCAATAGGTGAAGGCCGAGCATCGGAGACCAGCTAGTTTGTTGCAACTATCGCCTATAGCGCAATGGAAATGGGAGTAGATTGTTATAGATTTCGTGACAGGTCTTGCTAGATCACGGAGGGGAAATGAAGCCGTATGGGTCATTATTGATACATTGACCAAGACGACTCACTTTTTGCGTATTAAGGCAACAGATGATGCGGAGGCACTTGGTGCTCTTTATGTGAAGGAGATTGTAAGGTTGTATGGAGTTCCAGTAACTATTGTTTCGGAAAGGGATGCCAAGTTCACTTCGAAGTTCTGGGAAGGACTTCAAGCAGCGTTTGGTTTAGTGTTGCATCTGAGTACGGCATTCCATCCACAGACGGATGGCCAGTCGGAACATACCATCCAAATCTTAAAAGATATACTTCGGGCATGTGTACTTGATTTGGGGGGCAGTTGGGAGGATCACCTTCCACTTATTGAGTTTGTCTACAACAATAATTATTAGGCGAGTATTCAGATGGTTCCATTTGAGGCATTGTATGGTAGACTTTGTAGGTCCCCTGTTTGATGGATTGAGGTGGGCGAGACAGCCGCCTTAGGACCCGACAATATACTCGAGACTACTGCGAAGATTAAGCTGATCAGGCAGAGATTGCTTATAGCTCAGAGCCGACAAAAGAGTTATACGGATAGGCGGAGACGGCCGCTATCCTTTGAGGTGGGAGACCACGTTTTTCTTCGGGTTTCACCACGGAAGGGGTTAATGAGATTCGGAAAGAGTGGTAAGTTATCACCACGATTCATTGGACCTTTTAAGATATTGGACCGGGTAGGAGAGGTTGTCTATAGACTTTTTTTGCCACCGCAGATGGACAGAGTCCATAATGTCTTTCATGGATCGATGCTACGGAAGTACGAGCCGAATCCATCTCACATTTTGAGTTGGGTTGATGTGGACATTGATGAGTATGTTTCCTACGTGGAGGGACCGATTCAGATCCTTGACACACAGCAGGAGGTATTGAGAAACAAGATGATGTCATTGCTAAAGGTTCTATAGAGGCATCACGGCGTGAAGGAGGCTACTTGGGAGCTTGAACAGGAGGTTCGCTCCAAGTATCCAGAGTTGTTTTCTCCCTCAGGAATGGCTTGGTTAACTAGGTCGGATGCGACGCCTTGGAGGTGCCTTGTGGTCATGGATAGTTAACCAACCTTCCTTTCATGACGCCTTGGAGGTGCCTTGGGTCGGATTACATAAACGGTTTGGTTGTTGAAACGGAATTGTTTCGGAAACGGAGAGTGGCATAGGCATGACATTGCACTTCATGGTACATGTGGGAAATTTGTGATTGGATGTTATTTATACTATGCTTGTCGTTGTGATTGAGATTATGTTTTCCCCATGGTATGACCCTGTCCCTTTTTATCCATTCATTGTGTGGGATTCACGGGGATATAAGAAGTGTGTCTTAGACACTTCATACTGAGCTTATGCTCACCCCATTATTTTTAACATCTTTCAGGACATGGAAAAGAGGTGGCGGACGACGATCTACCACGATTTTAGACGAGCACGGAGACCAATTTTATTTTTACTATCTTTTGTATTAAAACTCTCTAATATTTGATAAATGTAATATTAACTAACTCGTAAAACTTTAGTTTAATTAGTATAATGTTGTAAGTTATGGACTTTTAATTCTAGCTACATTTTATGGACTGTAATTTGATGTAACTTAAGTGGGTTCCATGTTTGGATGAGATGGAAGAACGGGATTTATGTATGTATATAGTCATTTTAAAAATATGATATAATATCTGTATTGTGCGTTGGGACATGATATGTTATTTTTGAGGCCCAGTGAGGCTATTGCATCTATTTATGTATTTTAACAGGTTGTAGAAGGACCTTTTATGCGGAGGTTATGCCGAAATTTTTATAGATTTTATTATTATTATTATTTTGGTATCTTTTCGGGTCGTTACATTTAATTCCTAAAGGAACGATATTCTGTGTATTCCCTATATATTCAATTACCCTTTGGCACATTTTAAGTTTTTGTTCTTAAGAATTTAAGCAATGCACTCATATATAGGATTTGTGCTATGCAGAGGCCAGAAGTTTTAACTTCTTCTTGAGTAAACAGTAAATGCACTCAACCATGGAGATCATGCACTTGTTGTTATTGGATTCAAAAGACAAAAAGATATGTTCAAAGGGTCTAACCGAACAAAAAGAGTTCTAGGCTTTTGTTGCGAACATATTCATATACGAGTATCTTTTCCTCTCCAGCAAGGCAAAATCCCGTTAGTTTCACAAGATTTCTATGTTGAAGCTTGGCTACAACGACCACCTCATTCCTAAATTCTGTTGTGCCTTGTCCAGAACTCTCTCTCTTTGATAGCCTCTTCACAGCTATTTCTTGTCCATTGGGAAGAGTACCCTGTAAATATGCAAAAATATTAAGATCTACCCATAGAATTTCATCTTTAAGAATATTTGATTTTCAATGGAGAAGTTGTTTGTGGCTGCTTCAATCGTACCCAAATCAAATTGCAATGATTCTACCGTAGTAATATCACTCCCAACTACACAGCCAAAGAATGCAAGTGTTGAATTACATAATTACATCACGAAAGAAGCACAAATGTCAGAGAATTTTTATATGCTTCAGGAAATGAACTTGTTAACTTGTCTTCACCGTTTTCTTCTTCCATGGCATAACACCGTTTCTTTGCTCTCCTAACTAGGAAGCAGCAACCTACTGAGAGAAGTACCGGGACACACCCACTGAAACAACAATGACAATAATTGTTTGCGATGAAATTGTCCCTTTCCCTGCATCCAAAAAAAAAGTCCCATCAATATTCTAGAAAAGCAACATATATAAATCAAACAAAGTAAAAGAGAATTTCTCCAAAGAGGAAGTGAAAATTTAATCAGTGAGCAGATGAGCATTTCCTGCATAGTTTTTTGAATTCGACCTAATGAAATGGTACCATGAAATTAAATCAGTTTGCTTTAATTAGTTTTAACTACCAGTTTGAAAACTAATTTTTTTTATTATTTTTAATTGGCTTTAAAATTTTACCTTGAGGACTTGCTAAAGGGGTTGGAGCAGGTGGAGGAGGAGAAAGTAGTATTGGTGTAGGCGGTGGTGCGGTGGCTACGGAAGTGTAAAATGGGCTAATCTCAAACCTAATATTACAACTGGGAAGTAAAACCCTCCCCCCTTGCCTCCCAACATAGCAAGTTGGTAGAAAAGATATGGCCACTCTAAGGCATCTATTACAATCACTCCCGGATAGATCTGGTGTGCACTGCGCTAGGCTATGTAGCTTCTGAAAAGCTGTGAAGTCAGCTTCTTGAGTTGCAAACCTCGTAACATTTCCAGACTCATCATTTGAAGCCAGAGTCGCTAAATCATCTACGGTTTCTCCCAGCAATTGCTCAAAGCGATCTTGTTCTGTGACATTATATGGATTCCACACATTCACATTCGGTGATTCCTCCATGGTGGAGAAAAAAGACTGGTTGGCATAACGTAACATGCACTTATCGTACCAAATAATTGCCTTATTCTGGTTGGGGCAATATTGATGGACTATTTCTTTCACCGCATGAGCCACACAATCTTGACAAACATTAGTACCTGCAATGTCGCCACGACAGAGAAAGAGGCCATAAGCCACGTCAGGAACATCAAGACCAGCTGTTGCTTTATAAAATCCGTTGATGGTGGTATCATTGGGAGAAAGAGAAGAGAGGACGAGATTGAGATTAGATTGAAAAGTGGTATTGGAAGTGTATGCTGTTTCATTAGTACATATATGGGCGCGGTAGGATGGGGCAGCTTCTGTTATAATAGTATTGGGAAAAAATAACCAAAGCATGGAAACAATCACAAAGCTCTCAGAGAAACTGCATGTGTAAGAAAACATGGTAATTAACCACAATGACAATTAAAATGAGTGGTTGATTACCGTTTGTCAAGAACCTAAAATGAGGAAGAAAAATAAAAATGGTGGAGTTATAAAGTACTAGAAACTGTCACAACACGGAATTGATCTAAGACGTCAATGAATCAGAAATTCAGAATTCAAGGATGGTGAAAAATGCACATTATTTTCCTAATTTATGGTCTCCTTACATTGTTCCCTTTGAATGGAAAAGTCATTAGAGACTAGCCTGACTAATACGGTATACTTTCTTATTAGTTGTTTGCTATAAAATTCCAGGTCTTTCACTGAAACGAATGAACGTCATCTTTGTTATGATTGAAGTAGCATAAATTCTCGTGCACGGTGGTTGAAAATTAGGAAAATTTTCCTAGTGAAATTAAAAAAATAAAATTTTATTTTTTATTTTTTATTTTTATGGATGACATTTGTAATTTTATTTAATTAAAATATTATTAATCAATATTTTGATTCTTATATTTGCAACTATATTTTTTTACCGTATTTATTTAACATATTATTTTATAACTATTTTTTTATTTTTTGTTTGTCTTTTGATTTAAAAAATTATATTTCATATTTGTTATATTTATTATTATTATTTTTTTTTTCATGTGCATTGTGTCCGCTCTCTGAAATAAAATCTTGATTTTCCTGATCCTGTTAATAAAAAAAAAAAATTATGCAATGAAAAAGTTTAAATAAAACTAACATATTTATTCAAATGCTGTGGGATTAATCGAAATCATGTGATGATAGACTACAAAATAATTTGTAATATTGGCCCTAATAGGTGCTGACCTAGCCGTTGGGCAACAATACGAAGTAAAACTCGATTTCCTGCCACCACTCACGGGAAACGAGTCCTGACTAGTAAACCAAGGACTTTTGTAGTCAATAAAGTAATTTGATAGCGACTGGACTAGAAAGAAGGTGGTGATAGGGCTTTGTCACAAGGCAATCAACTGGACCAAGGACTTTTCCCTTTGTTGCAGTGAATAAATTAATAATTGTTGGTCCCATTTATTGCACAAGGGGGTTACAATAAAGAACTGGTGGAATAGTTAGGAACCCAATCACAACCGGTGCTTTGATTCTGGTTCTTAATTGTTTCGCGTTCGGTTATATATATGTGTCTATTGAAACTTAAACTACTTTCTTTTGAAAGGAAGAATTTGATATCGTTACTATAACGATCTCAAAAGATACTAAAATAATAATAATATAAAATTTTGATATGACCTCCGCAGAAAAAGTCTCTCTATAACCTGTTGAAATACATAAAAATACAATGGTCTCACTGGGCCTTAAAACTTATTTATTCTGTCCTAACGCACAATACAAATATTACACCACATTCCCAAAATAACTACATACATATAAAAAGTCTTGTTCTTCCATCTCATCCAAATAAGAAACACACCTTAGTTACATCAAATTACAATCCATAAAATGTAGCTAAAATTTAAAAGTTCATAATTTACAACATTATACCAATTAAAATAACAAAATAGTTAAGATTATATTTATAAAATATTAGAGTTCTAATACAAAAGATAGCAAAATAAAATAAGCCTCCAATCTCGTCTAAAACTTATGGCAGATCGTCGTCCGCCACCTCTTTTTCGTGTCCTGAAAAATGTCAAAAATAATAGGGTCAGCTAAACGTTCAGTAAGAGGTACCTAAGACACATATTTTATGACCCTGTGAATCCACATATAGAATAGAAATCAAGAGAACGGGATCATACTATACCGGGGATATAATCCATAACCACAACGTCAAATATAACAACAATTATCATTTAAGTCACAATTATACCATGTATGCCAATGAAGTGCAATGCAATGCCTATGTCGCTCCCCATTTTCTGAAGCATTACCGTTTCAACTTCCAAATCGTTAACCCAAGGCACTTCCAAGGCGTCACGAAGGGAGGATTGGCTAACTATCCACGACCACAAGGCACCTTTAAGACGTCGCATCTGGCCTAGTTAGCTCAATCTCTAGTCCCCACTAGAGTATACTAACACCACGAACCACTAGGCGCCTCCTAGGTGTCCGATTTTTGCAAACACTTTCCGAAAACGATTTTCTCAAAACGATTTCATTTGCTTCAAAAACACCTTTCCCTTTCTCTTTCTTTCCCAATGGATGCATGAATGCTTTATGCTTCTAAACGTAATTCAACTATTGGATTTCACACATGCTTTCTATAATAAATTTCAAAATGCATAATTCATACTTTCATTCAACATTGATTTAACATAGTAAACATACAAGGCACAAATTCTATTCCAAATAGGCATGTTTATACACAAAACATCAATTAACACATAATCATATTTCTCATATACATCATTTAAGCATGTTTTCTCCTCAAATAACAATTAACATATAACCACACATCACTTATATAACAATTAAGTCACCTTTACAAGAATCCATAAAATTTAGGCATGCTTTACAACAATTAATGAAAGATAATTCACTAAAATCCAAGAAAATATGAATTAGAAACCCCTACCTCCAAAAATGAGAAAGTCCCCAAATGGGTCCAAAAATTCAAAATCCTTAAAGTGCACCAAATGATGAATTACTTGTATCAATGAGTAGATCTCGCCGTGCTCTTCGATTTGCCACAAACGGCATCCAAAAATTCCAAGAGATGAGAAGTAATTAAGGATTGAATTTGGTGGAGAAAAGAAAAAAAGAAAAAAAGAAAAAGAAAAACCAAGAATGAGAGAGTGAGAGAAAGCTTACGGGAGAGAGAATGAATATGAGACCAAACATGGTCTCATGACCACTAAAATGGGTGATGGTGGCCCCCCTCCAAAAAGTTAAAATATCTTCTTCTTTTTTTTTTTCTTTTCTTTTTTTTTTTTTTAAATAACATTATATACATTTATGTATGTATGTATCCTAAACATTACAATCTACCATCCTTAAAAGATTTCGTCCTCGAAATCTACCCTCTTTAAAGAAGGAGGCCCACAACCACACACCTTCCCAAGAATACCTCACAAAACCCTAAAGCCATGAACTCACCAACATTATTACCTTTGACACGAAACGTCACACACCACTGCTGCAAAAGCACAATGCTCACCACCCTACGAGGGTACTCATTACTCACTACATCAGAACACGAGACCAACTAGGCCCTACACCTGACTCAAAACGGACATCAGTTCATTCTACACTTCCACGCAAGACTTCAAAGCTCGAAAGAAAAACGTCACAAAATCACCGAATATGACAACATCTAATCACAACTCCTCCTTAAAAGGATACACAAAGCCCCAGACAAAGAATCCCGTCCATCTCACAATCAAGCTCAACTCTAATCTACACATTTCTGTTAGACCGAACACTCACTACCCAACACTTAATTACACCATTACATACCCGTACAACGACTACCAACCATACTAAGCGACAATCACTAAACTTATCATCCTCAAGATGACTAAATAATGAATCTCCCAACGACTACATAATCATGAATCACCAGAACAATAAAACAAATTATCTTGTACCCAGGTCACAAATCCTCAAAACAAAATCTTTAATAATTAAACCGAATCACAAACCCTATACCAGACACTTGGTATTACCTAATACACTTCGTCACCCAAAACAAATCACCCGAATCCACACTGTCACACCGACACAACGCGCAAAACCGTGCCCTCATTATCCTTGACAAATTGAAACAATCATTGACCTTTGACCCGACATCGTGTTAAGAGGGATTGATTCAGGAAAAATGGTTGGCCAGGCCATTCTCATCATTGATCCGGTCTCAACACAGATGTCGTCCATGTCCTCAGATCCAAACCTTAAACACACTCTCACGCAGTCCACAAGACAACCATGAGATTTAATCGCTATCAATCCATCGTTCTACGTAACCACAACGGCTAACAGTCACATGCTTACTCTAAAAATCCCATTCATGCTTTAATCATATAACCCTAACAAGGTAGTAATAAAACAGCACCAAACGTCATAATCATCGACCAACGTAAAAACTCCCTAATAATTTCATAGCACCCATCCCAGGTAGACGACTCCATAACATCATTCGGTTTAATTCTTACTTCTTCAAAATACAAAATACGATCGTCTCATGCCTGAAACCTCAAAACCAAAATCAATCATTCCCATTATTTTCTCAATGGAATTCCACATTCACTTTCTTTAATCACGTAGTTCCAAGGTGTAATACCCCTAGTTTTCAAAATGATATAATTGAAATTTAATTTTTATTTCTTATGCATTCTAATGGATTAAGTGGCTATGTTGTTATGTGATTTGATGGTATGTGTTTAATTGGGTAGTTGAATTATTTGTTTTAAGTTAGTTATGCTTACGTAGAATTGTATTATATGTTTAAAATGTTTTATTTGTTATTTGAACTTATATGCTTATGTGGATTGTTTTTAATTTAATTGTTTGCATTAGATGTTTATTTTATATTAGGAAGTTGGGCTTGGATAGTGTGGATTAATTGGTTATGATCAACGGACCATGGATGGATATACATGTATATATGGGTATATATGTATATTGGATTAGGTAAATTATTAATAATTGTTAATAATTCAATTAGTCTCATTTTTTTTATATATAATATAAAGTTTTAGGGTTTTATTTATATTCATTAAGATTTGCCGACTTAGTTAGTTTTATTTTGTTTTCTTTTTCCTTCTCTAAGTATAATTGAAATTAGGTTAATCAGCGTTGCCTAAATATAACTTTATGCATCTGCCAAGGATTTAGAACCCTATTCACGTAGCAGTGGAGGCAGAGAGAAAGAACAAAGAGGTCTGAGAGAAAACAGAGAGAGGGAAACTTAGGGTTTGGCTAAGGCTAAGGCTAAGCCAAGGAGAGAACGAAGTGGTGTTGCTCGTGGGTTGAACCAAGGGGCAACAGAGGAGTTAGAGCAGTGAAGGATTGCCAGAAAAGTTAGAGAAGACGGTTTAAGGTTTCAAAACTGAAACCAAAGGCAAGTTCTATTTCTTACTCTTTTCCTTTGACCTGTATTCTGTGCATGCCTAGGTAGTCTGCAGGAACTAAACGGATATTAAAAGTAATTAAGTATGCATGTTAATTCAGCTTTTTAACTGTAATATATGTGTTGATTAATTGAATTTGATTTACTGGATAACTTATTTCATTTTTTTGTTTTAAATCTTGTATCGATGCGTACTAATATATACGATTTTTCTGGATGATTTGGGACTTAGTCGGACCTCTAGGAACTTGAACTAATATTTTCAGAGGGTTTTTAACGTCATCAGAGATAAAGACGATGACAAGAAGCAGGGACAGAGTCGGCTCCAAAGGGGAAAGAGCCGACTCCCTTTTATTTTTAGCCCGCGGCTCTCTGTGAGAGAGAGAACCGGTTCTATGGAATTAGGGAGCCAGCTTTCAAGGTCACAGAGCCGGCTCCCAAGGTGGGGGAGCTGGCTAAGCTTGCTGCTCCTAAAGAAGAAGGTGGTTTGGGGTGAGAAGAGTTTTGAATATTGGTTTACCTGAAAACTGTGTATTAGCTTCAGATTATTTAGTATCCAAAGATAGGATTTCGGTGCTTGGGTATAAACATTGTTCATGTTACCTAAGGAATACATCCTTTTGGCAGGTCATTCCAAAGGTTTCAGATTCTTCTATATGGAAAAGTATAGTTGTTATTTGGGGGACTTCATGAAGATTAACTGTAAGTATGTTATTGGGAAAGGAACTGACATCAACATTTTTCTTCATCCTTTGTGTGATGGTAAAATGATGTCAATATTTTGAGGCCTATAGGGGATGGAAAAAATAAAAAATAAAGAAAAGTTAGGGCAAGTTTCAGACGACACAATCTGCTTAGACACTCCGTAGGGCGCAACCTCCGCTATCGCCTTAGGTGACAAGGTATGTTCATCCTCTCTCTCTTCTTTCTCCTTTTACATGAATCGATCTTTTATATATGTTTCTTTCTTTCGTTCATCTCATCATTTGATTTGTTCTAACTTTGGTTCGTTTGATTCAGGCCTTTACATTTGTTCCAACAGTGAAAAGTAGCTAGGGTTTTGTGTGTGTCACTATGAATGTAAAAGAAACTGCAGTTTTTTGTTCTCTTCATTTTTTATTTTGTGCCTGTGAAAATTTCTCACTCTTTAATTGATAAATTTATTGTTATTAGTTAGCTATCTTATGCACACTGCACATGCACATGCACACAATTATTATGCACACTGCACATGCACACAATTATTTATTGGTGGTGATAAAAATTTATAGTTATTAGCTAGTTGTCTTAAGCACACTGCAAAGACGCATAATTATTTATTAGTGGTGATAGATTTATACTTATTAGTTAGTTGTCTTATGCATATTGTACAGGCGCACAATTATTTGTTAGTGGTGATAAATTTATAGTTGTTAGTTAGTTGTCTTATGCACAATGCACTGGGGCACAATTATATTATACCCACAAATTAAAGGTTGTTGTAAGCTTATATTGCTTTAAGAGTTGTGAATTTATGATGAGAACTAGAATTGTCCAAGTATGGCACATTTCATACACATGGTATTGATGACATTTCATTAACACATGATATGGGTGTGTAGAGTTAAGTGTGGGATTGTGAATTGTGAATTTGGAAAGTTTTTGAGAAAATGGTTTCTTAAACCCGACATGTGGGGAGGTACCCCTTTTGTCAGTGGTGTTAATTGGTTAATAGGGCACGAGATGTACCCGTGAACAATTAGCGTCTCAAACCCCAAATGATAGTTGGGATGCACCCTTTGCCAGGGACGATAGCAAATTCCCCTAGGGACGGAGGGAGGTATCCAAAGTCCGGCTAATTAGTACATTTTCGGTGTGGGTGTGTGAAAATGTGAGCATGTGTATGGTATGTATCTTGCATAATACATCCCATGCATTGCATCACTTTAAATTGATGATAATGATCATTTGATGATTTGAAAGACGTTTCCGAAATCCTTAGCATTATCCCATCATCCTATTTCCACTTATTGTTGTGTCAAACATGCATTGTTTACTTTACTTGAGGAGATACCACTTAAGCAATCTCTATTGAGCCGTTGTGCTTATTTTTTTATTAACATTTTTCAGGAAATGGAAAAGAAGTGGCGGAGGGACCCAAGCTCAACTTTGTAGCTTTAGGAAGGAATTAGATGGTTTTGTTGGGCATAATGTGCTAACCTTCCATGTATATGTATTTTTGAGGTGTATGAGAAAACTTGTAATCAATAATCTATTTTGTTTAATTTGCAAATGATGGCTAATTATATGTATTTAGAGTAAAAATTAGTTCAAGACCTAAGCTTCACCTTTTGAGGTCTCATCATGATCTCCATTCCTTCATGGAACTTGTGAGCCATTTAATGATGTAACATGAAGCTATTTTGATACATTAATGATGTAAATTGATCCTTTGTAATGCATGGACACTACTTTATCAATGTTTTTTTGTATATAGGTGTTTTGGAACAAGATTTGGATGATTTAGATACTAATTGATGACAATGGGACTTAGACCATTGGTAACAGAGCCAAGAAGGGGTCCAACCACACTTTTTTTCAAGAAAAATTAGTGGGGAATCGATCCCCCCTTCAAAATAGAATGAGGGTTCTTCCAAGGGTGGGCGATCAATCCCCCATTTCTTCAATTTTTCAAAAATTGCCTCTGAGCTTGAAATAGTCATAACTCATTCATTTTTATCCAAAATTATGTTATTTTTAGTCCAAACTGACCAGCTTGAAGTAAGATTTCCAATGATACCAACCTCACTCCAAAATCCAATCATAGAGGGAGTTATGGCCATTTTAATGCAGACTGTTCTAAAAATCTCCTAAACCGAGAAGGCCTTTTTGTGGGAAGCCACAACCATAGCCACCGAAACCTTATGGAATGGGTTTTGTTGGTTAATATGATTAGAATGAACTCCATTTGGCTCATTTAGGGTCATCTTATCCTCCACATTTGACTTGATATGTCTATTTTATTTTTGTGTGACTTTAGGTCCGGGTAAAAACTTGGTCTACGATTCGAATCTCCAGATTCGGATGGTGACAAATATACTTAATATTAGTGACGGAGAGAAGTGAAAATTTGAATTCAACGTACTTAATCCATCATTTCAATTGACTTAGTTAGACATCAACACTAGAAAATAGGCTAGCCTTTTATTGGCCATGTTGTAGTGAATGATTTGACTATTTGACTTAACTAGTAATTGTAGTGAACGTTATGATTAAAGGATAAAATTTAAAATGTAGTATAATATTATGTTGGACAAACGGTAAAAATTCATGAAAAATATATTGGGATCCATTTCAGAGTATAGAAACATTAAAAAAAAAGCCAATAAATTCATATTATGTGAATACATTCATATCCTGTGCGATAAAAAGCTCATTTCATTTTACATCCTAAACTTGTCATTCTATCTAGGGTAAAGTTCAGTAATAGATGCTTCATTTCGAGACAACTCCTTTGACTTGCTTGTACGTTAATTCGACTTAAATCCATTTGGCGAGCTCAAGTACTCTGTTCTGCTGTGAACAAAGAATGCAGGTTCTAGAGGCAATGGTAGACTAACAGAAAGACTGTTGAGCATGACACTTACAGATGCCATAGAGGGCCTCGCTACCATATCTTCTTGAACACACAACAAGCCTATATGGATGCATCGGACCACTTCATTTCTTGAATAAGAGTTCTTCAATGTTGAATCCATCAATTCCAATGGTGTCCCATTTCTCCATTGTTTCCAAGCCTGCAATAATATGTGAAGTGGTGTTCAGAGTTTTGGTATTGTCATTTTTTTTTTTTTTTTGTTCTTCAATGTGGATATGATGATACTGACAATAATAAAGGGGCAAAAAAAAAAAAAATTGCAATATTATGTTTGCACTAACATAACTCGAAAGGCTCTCAGCAGAGCTTGATTGATGGAAATACCTATTCTTCTTGCCACTTATAATCTCTAGAACTAAAACACCAAAACTAAACACATCTGACTTCACAGAAAACTTTCCATGCATTATGTATTCTGGAGGCATGTAACCACTACAAGAAAGAACCATTCGTTAGTCGAGGGCAAATTTATATATACACACACAAATTAAAAAACAACAAAAGGTCCTTTTTACATGTTATTTTAAATTAGTAACAGTCGTTCTTAGAGCCAATAATTCTACACAAATAGTTCTAAATTGTATTCCAATTTTTAGAAAGAAGACAATAGAGAAATTGAGAACTTACAATGTCCTAGCTATTGTTCTTGTATTTCGTTGAGATTGATCCACACCAAAAATCTTTGCCGTGCCAAAATCTGAAATTTTAGGATTCATCTTCCGGTCTAACAAAATATTGCTAGCTTTGAGATCACGATGAATTATTCTTGGCTGGAAATCTTCATAAACATAAAGCATCCCTCTGGCTATACCTTCTATAATATTATAACGTCTTGACCAATCCCATTGTCTTTGTTTTTCGGGATCTACATTCATAAAAATAGAGAGTCAACTCAAATTTGAATAATCAGATTTAGAATTATTCAATTAAATAAACTCAAAAAAAAAAAAAATAAATAAAATAAATATTTGTCGTATTAGTAAATGAAATATTAAACCATGGCAATCATACACATGTTGTTATTAAACTCAAAAGATAAAAAGAAAATTCAAAACAAATGTTCAAAGGGTCTAACCGAACAAAAAATGGTCAAGACTTTTGTTACAAATATATTCATAAATGAGTATCTTCTCCTCTTCAGTGAGGCAAAATCCCATTAGTCTGGCAAGATTTCTATGTTGAAGCTTGGCTACCACAACCACCTCATTCTTAAATTCTGTAGCGCCTTGTGCAGAGGTCTGGGATAGCTTCTTCACAGCTATATCTTGTCCATCAGGGAGACTACCCTGTAAATATGTAAAAATTAGTTAGTAAATAGAATTTTTGTCAAGCTTTTATGACTTAATTTCAAGAGAACTTTTTACCTTGTAGACCTGACCAAACCCGCCTTGATCTATCTTGTTATCAATGGAGAAGTTGTTTGTGGCTGCTCCAATCGTACCCAAATCAAATTGCAAGGATTCTACAGTTGTAATATCACTCCCAACTACACAGCCAAAGAATTGAAGTGTTGAATTACTTAATTTCATCGCAACTATTATTATTTGATTCAGGAAATGAAATTGTTAATTCGTTTCCTTACCGTTTTCTTTTTCTATAGTATAATTCTGTTTTCTGGCTCTCCTAACTAGGAAGCACAAGCCTACTGAGAGAAGTACCGCTGACACACCTATTGAAGCAACAACGGCGATAATTGTTGTTTTGAACGAAATTTTCCTTTCCCCTGCATCAACAAAAAATTTATTTACATCCTCAGAAGTTAATCACAGTCCAAAACTTTTGATCATAATTAACAAGCTTAAAACATCAAAATCAGTTTATTTTGAATATACATTAATCTACTAAATGAACTCACAATTAGATGGTCTATAAACAAACACTTATTATGCTTTGAAATTTTACCTTTAGGACTTGCTAAAGGGTTTGGAGGAGGTGGAGGCAGTGTTGGTGTTGGCGGTTGTGGGTCGGTGGCTGTGTAATTGAAAAATGGGTACATCTCGTACCTAATATAACAACTGGGAAGAAAAATGCCCGCCCCTCGCTTTCCAACAAAGTAAATTGGTATATAAGACATGGCTCCTCGTAGGCATCTATCACAATCAATCTGGGATAAATCTTGTGTGCACTGCGTTAGGCTATATAGCTTCTGAAAAGTTGTGAAGTTGACTTCTTAAGTTGCAAACCTGATAACGTTTCCAGACACATCATTTGAAGCCCGAGTCGCTAAACCATCCATAGTTTCTCCCAGCAATTGCATAAATCGGTCTTGTTCTGTGATATTGTTCGCATCATACAATAAGATTGGCGGTAGTGAATCCTCCCTGGTGGAGAAAAAAGAGTGGTTGGCATAACGTAACAGGCACTTTTCTAACTAAATAACTGCCCTTTTCTGGTTGGGGCAAAGTTTCACTATTTCTGTGACTGCACGAGCCACACAATCTTGACACTTATTTGTACCCGCGATATCACCACGACAAAGAAAGAGTCCATAAGCCACGTTGGGGGCGTCAAGACCGGCTGTTGCATTGTAAAATCCGTTAATATTGTTGGTAGCATTGGAAGAAAAAGAGGAGAAGAGGAGATTGAGATTAGATTGAAAAGTACTGTTATTGGGAGTGTATGTAAATGTAATTGTTGTATTAAAACATGAATGGGATGGGGCAACTTTAGTAATAGTATTGGGAATGAGCAACCAAAGAATGGTAACAATAACAAATGTGTTAGAGAAACTGTACGTGTAAACAGAAAACACATAATTAATTAATAAAGCACAGTGAGACAGGAAAAAAAGGAAATTTGAAGTTGTTATATATTAAAGTGGAAACTGTGTTTTAAGAGCTAGCTAGCGTGTATTCTGGTGGACGTACGTATGGAGGTGAGGAAGGAGAGAGATTGATAGGGACAAAAGTGAAGACTTTAATAGTTTGAAGGAGAAAATTCCGCATTTCCAATTCATGGACTCTCTCTACATCTACATGCAGTCATCCACTTTAAATCCATAAGTTATTAGACACCAGACTCGTCATCGTTTTACGTATTCACATTGCAAAATTTCCTTTGAAATTTCGAAGAGCTTACTACACTTTTATCGTTACCATAAGGCAATCAAAGTCAATCAAAGTCTGAATCACCTCTAATGGACTGTAATTTCCTAAAAATTATATCTTTGGGCATAATTTGTAAACTAAATTTCCAAAATTTAGAAGAGAGGCTAGTTCATGTTGTTTCCTTCCGTGAATTATTTTTAGCTGGAAAGAAAAGTATTTCTAATGCACTTGATGTAAGACAGTCTTATTAAGTTTTATATTATTTTTATTTTAAGGTTTTTAATTGCCTCGGTGTGAATGTGGTAAGTGTTATATGTAGATTAAAAACCTTTATATGACATAACGTATTTTAAAGTCATGATGGCCGTGAATGTTGGGATATGTGTGCCCTAACATAGCAAATTCTTATTTTGGATTGTAAAAGTCATGGTTCCTTATCTGAATATTATTATTAAAGCATTATACAATTGGTGAATGGAATGTATTATTTTTCGGTTCATTATGGAATTGATTGTGTCCACTTGATTACAAGATATATTTATATATGTATGTAATGGCAATTAATACTATGTTATAAATTAGTAATCATATATGGTTCAAAGTCGGTAATTATGGATGGACATTTAATTAGTAAGACTTGAACCGAGTCTACGATAGATTGAGATATATTGCGAGAGCTGTCGTATGCAATTGCTCTCTATCACAGTCATGACTTTTGACTCTTAAGCATGAGAGAAGTATAAACTCTTTTATTAATTAATAATTACTTTGATTTGTTCGGCGGATGCCTCAGGATCCTTAGATCGGCACTTTGGGTAGTTATGTAATTAATAGTTAGAGGTCTATATTCTCAATATTTGTATCAGTGCTTTTCGTATTTATTTTGTTTTGATTATGGTTGATCACAAATTAAATTCGAAGGCATTCATATGTTTTAGACAAATATTTTCTATATATATTTATTTAGTAAATTATTATTTTTGTCAAATAAATATTTTATTGTGATCGAGCTGGAAATAATCAAAGGTAAGAAAATAATTATATTGTCAGATTGATGGCTTTAATTATCCGATAAATAATTATGTACAGAGGGGTCAAAGTGCAACATTGACTTAGAGGTTATTTACTATTTAATTGGAGTGCAATTAATTTATTTTAGTAAAGTAGAAATTAATTTATGAATTAATTGAATTGGGTCCATGGTTTAATGGACCGGACCAATTATTAATTTATAGGAGCCAAGAAAATAGTAAGCCCAAAAGGATTCTCACCAATAGCCCAAGTTGATATTGGAGTCCTTTTAGAATTGAGAAAGTTGATTTAGAGATGGAGAATGATTTATTATTTCCTTATTTTTATTTTTATTTTGCCTATATATACATGGGTTCATGTATATTTTTAGTGTGACTTTCAGAACAAGAAAAAGGAATACACTTTCTCTCTTTAGATTTTAGGGTTTGTTTTCTCTTCTAAAAGGAGGCTACCACAAGCCTAGACTCCAAGGTTATTTATCAAGGCATATTGGTGATTCCTAAAGGGAAGATTATAATCAAGAAGAAGGAAAAATGATCTTGCTAAAGGGATCTATAATAAGTGAGAATATTCACTTTAGAGGAAAGATTAAAATGTTTACTCGGACCTTTGATGTAAATATTCAATCTGTTTATTGAATGATACATCATCTTTTATTTATTTTTGAATAAAACTTGTCTCTATGTGATGAATCAAGATCTATGATTGCAAATCCCTTAAAAGTTTTTAAAAACTTGCACGTTTCCCAATAGTGGTATCAGAACATGATTTGATTCATTACTAGAGATCATGTGTTTTTCAAAATCATCTTCATGGATCCAAATCATATATACATATATATATTTATTGATGTATGTTGATGTATGATTTATTATGTTGATATATATTGATACATGATGATGTATATATAATTGTGAATGAATGATGATGTGTGTTTGGGTCATGGATGAAATTTATATGTATATTGAATGAAATTTTATCTTTGGATGAATGTAATTAAGACTTTGATTTAGCCGTTTGAAAATTCAATGATGTAATTTAATTTTTTTCATTATATTTCAAATTGTAAGTATTTATTAAAGTCATGTAATATTCATCAAAGGATGCTATGAAGCTTTAAGAGGGTCCGAAAGGGTGAAATTATGCTTCAGTAATTTTCTGGAATTTTTCTGAAATTTTTCTGGAATTTTTTGAGGTTTAATTTAATTTTCTAGGAATTTTTCTAGAATTTTTCGGTGTTTTTCCCGTGGCGGGAGCATCGCCGGCTGTGAGAAGAGATGTCGGAGGAGGTAGGAATCAAGTGCATCTCAGTTATGGTGAGCCTGGAGCATGAGCAGCACGTGCAAGGAGATGGAGGTGACAGGGACATGCTGGCGCGTGAGATTCACGTGCCAGCACAATGCATGTGCACTCCACGCGTGTGAAGACGGGTGGAGGAGCGTCCAGGGGCGTTTCATGCACCACAATGCGCCCCAGGCCCGTGCCAGCGCGTGGGGACGCGTGCCTTCACCTGCTGCATGCCCCAGGCGCGTGCGAGTGCGTGTGGGGCCCTCCAGGCGCGTTCCAAGCGGCATTTCGCTTCTCTGAACGTGTACCAGCTTCCTACAGGTGTTTACAGACTGTTGAAGGACGCCAATATAGCAAGAATAGTGTTTAAATGTTAAAAGCTGAATTCATTGGCCATTTAAATTGCTTCTGTCTGTGATTTGATTATTTATGTGATGCATGGAATAATTTAATACTGATTATAATTGTTCATGCATTGGATCCATGATTTTTTATCTAAATGGCTTTATTTATATCAATTAAATTATGAAGATAAATTGGATTAGATTGCTAATTAATTTCAGGGCATTTATTGGAAAACGAAAAATTATTTTTATAAATTATTTTTGCCTCAAATTAAATATTAGTGAATCATTTAAAATCCATATATTTTCTAAATTCAATTGGATTAAAATCAAGACGTTTTGCATGCATTAAATTATGAATAGTAAAACTCTAGTTATATATAATTAAAAATTGAGTGGGAGCGGGAATTTTTATACATTACTCCATGGCCTTCGTAATTATAACCATTGTGATTAGATCTTTAAAAATAAGGCCCCATGCATGATTTAAAGAATTTAGATTACAGGAATGGTTGTCTCACAAAAATATATTTATTAAATGACCATTATAGTTAGATCTTTAAAAATAAGGCCCTACGCATGATTTAAAGAGTCTAAACTATGAATGGCAATATATTTAATATGTGTTTTTTCATTGGAGCATTAATTACGTTATATACTCAATCTAAAATCAATAGTATTAGCTCTCCAACGGAGTGGTCTATACTAGGTGATTTTAGAGAGGCTAAACTTAATCGGGAATTATTTCATATATAGATAAGGCATTGTCTAAAAAAATATGGAAATAATGAGTTTTTTTCATCAATAAGCAATAATGAATTCCGCCAACCGGATAAGTTATTGGCATATTGATTATCCGATTTTTCATGCAATGTGGTTAAGGGACCCACAATTAATTATTTATTTTATTTTGCATGATTATTTTTTATTCACTTTATTTATTGTATGAATGTTTTTATTTTCAGATTTATCATGATTAGTCCATTCAGTTCACTTGCAAACATACTAAAAGAAAATCGATTAACTGGACCTAATTATATCGATTGGAAAAGGCAATTAGATATTGTACTTACATATGAGGGGTTGAATTATGTGTTTACTACTCCTAGACCTTCTCCATCTTTGCCTGAGGATCATCCTGAGGAGCATGAAGTTTTTAAGAAATGGAATAAAGCAGATGAGATGACTAGGTGCTACATTTTTGCTTCACTCTCAAATGTACTCCAAAGTCAACATCTTCAATATCTCACTTCTGCAGACATCATGCTTAACCTCAAGGAAATGTTTAGGCAAATTGGTAAGAGTGCACGCCAAAATGCTATAACAAACTTAATGACCATCAAGATGGTCCAAGGTACTTCAGTTTGGGAACATGCTTAAAAAATGATTGGTTTTCTAAATGAACTTGAGATCTTTGGATGCAACTTGGATGGTGAACTTCAGGTTGACATGATTATCACTTCATTGCCAGACTCATTTAACTCTTTTAGGATTAATTATTCTATGAATAAGCTTGAGTACTCACTCGCTGAACTTCTGAATGAGTTGGTAACCTTTGAAGGGACAATCAAAAGTAAGGGTGCATCTATTAACTACACTCAGTTTGCTGGA